AATTCCTCAATTCTTTCGGGGAGGTAATCCTATAATCTAAGTTGTTGGGAATAACAAAATGGATTTAATTTTTTGAGCATGCATATTTGTAAGCATGGTACTCCGTATACAAGTAATTTAATCAAATATAGACCTAAGAAAGCAAGGGAATATTAAATTCTAGCTACGCTTTTTCCACGGTACCCTACCCTCTCCGTACTCCTCACTCATATTCAAATTAATCAGAAAAAATTGAAAAAAAATGTGTGGCCCCTAACTACAAAGCTCCTATAAGGCATGGTCATGGCACAAGATCATGCACCTTCTAACAATCTCAACCAAACACACTCTGTAATTTCCTAATTCCTTGTGGGTGGTAATCCATAGCAAAAGTTTATTTGAGATAACCATTAAGTACCTGACCAGACCACCAAATAATACTACAAGGATCTTATGCGTAAAGTGAACAGCCACAATATCTCTACCTCATCATCTCTATAGGAAGTGGGCGCATTCTCCAATCTGCATTCTGGTATCTGCAAATTATAAGTAGGGCCTGTTTAAAGGATTATGCTTATACACATTTTTTAGGGCGTTCTGTAACATGAACTAATATTTAAATCATACTCTTTCTTTGCCTCCACTCCACAAAAATGGTGCAGCAGATATTCTAGGCTCTTCCTCTCCAATTTCAAAACCCTTGAAGCCTAATAACTCAAACAATGATGAATTCACAACATCAGTCAAGAGAAGCATCCTGCCATACCTTGTTTAGGAAAAATAAACTAAATGTTCAAACAAGCCAGTTAAAAATCCAAGGCAATCAAGTCAAACATCAACTATGGTAGTATGTTAATTAACCAGAAAGTTTAATTGATATGTTAATCAATGCTGTTACCAGGAAAACAAAACTTGTCTCTAAAGTCTAAACCATGCTCGATGGAGTGGTCAATCAAGTTCCATGCCTAGCCAGTGACCACAGACCAAACAAGAGATAAAGAGAGCCCATACCTGACCAGTGTCAAATAGATTGCAGACATATATGCCGAAGTCCCGTTGAAGCCACACTATATCTCTATCTGCTCCATGCATTACCTAGTTATACCAGTTAAACAATATAAACCCCCCATTGGCAGCATAAATGACAAAGAATAAAGATGTTTACCTTTTTCTTGGTTGGATCCTTAAAAACTTCTCTTAGATATGGACCAACTTGTACACGAAGTTTCAGTGTGTCTACAACAAAATCTTCACTTCGGGTTGATATTTGCATTAGGCAGGTCATTCCTTGAAATGATCTATATTGATTGTGCTCCAAATCAACCTAGATCAATGTTGATTACAAAATAAAATTCAGATAATTAACCTTTAAAACTATGCATGAGATACTCTTCAGACTTCAGCTAAAGAAGTCCATTCATTCGGGGGGATATCAACAAAAACAATAAATATACTTGTATATAATTACCAGATGATTTCAACAACACACACTAACCTATGCAACTTATCATTTTACTTCAATGCTACACACACTTGGATCTCCCTACTTCCAAGTATGGGCAAGGTCTGCATACACACACCCTCCAAACCGGCAAACCCTACTATTGTGGGATCTAACTGGGTTGTTGTTACTACACACACTTGGATATATCTTATATTTCAAAAGTAAAAACTTTATGGAAAGACATCAATGAGCACCAACCAGAGTTTGCAATGGTTTTATGCAGAAGAAAAAAACTTTTGAGTTAACAGTGGTTACACTACTAAAAGCTAGAGCCTAATTAAATTTAACAAAATATAAAGAACTAAGAAGAAAATTTCCTTGAGCCCCAAAAAAAAGTAATGCAATCAATTTTAATAAATATTCATTAAAAAATTGACAGGCCACAAAGAAGCACATTTTTATTTAAATCTAGATGAACAAAGTGGAGCCACATTCCATTTCCTATGTCTCTTTCTATCCCACTAAGACTACAACCTTCTAATACATGCATGACACATAGAAGCCAACCGTCCTCCCAAAAAAAGCAACAAAAATTGCCTACAATTCCAAGTCCACAAGAACTGTTTAGTATCACTGATCATATCTTCAAGAACAAAAACAACAAGAAAAAAAAATTGTAACTCATATTAAAATAAAAACTCCATTCAACATGTACCGCAAATTCATCCACTCCACGCAGCTTGGCAGCTAGCTGCTTCAGATCTTTAACATGTTCCACATATTTAAATGGAGTTTTCTCTATAGGAGGAGGTTCGATAGGCTCTATAACGCTAGCACTGCCAACAAAGTCAAGGGCAGAAAGCTCTTCCTGAATGATCATAACAAGGAATTATAAGCAATATGTTTCATCTACACCATTTAAAAAGTCAGATGAAAAAAAATGTGAGGTAAAATATCAAATCCTTTACGATAAGGTGCTTAAGATGTAACCTTGAAAGACATAAATCATTAATTCATACAAACAAGAATAGTGTGTTTTGTAACCCAACCAAAGTGACAAGGAAAAATCAAAGTGAAAATGTGATGTCTACATAGTTGAAGCAATATGATTCACATAATGACAATTACGAATTTTCCTCTTAAAGATTTTTTATAGGACGGAGAGAGTAGTACCCCGTAGTATATTTTCAAAATTGATGGTTTTTGGTTCTTCGCCATCCAGAATCGTACATTTTTTAGGATTGTAGTTCTCAGTCCAGATCTAGGTGCAACTTAGGTAGCAAAGAAAATAAAAGAAGTACTGACCAGGGGATGCATGAATCTGGAACCATCCTCACTCTTTTGCAACCACACATGCTCGAAAGGCTGGTTCGAGTTGTTGACAATTATCTTATACTCATCTTGTGGCCTGCGGATATTGGCTACATGAAATGGCACCTTAGGCTTCGGCTTTGTAGCCACCTTCACCCCTTCCCCCACCTTCTCTTCACTTTTCTCTACAGTGCAATTGGCAGAGACACTAGCACTTGCAGATTTCTTGTTTTTCCTCCCGAGAACCACCTGAAACCCACCATCTGAATCCATCTTTACTCCATTTTCCTCCTCTGTCTTGCGAACAGTCTGGAACTCATCAATCGAAGAGTCAAGCCTCTCAAGCACATCGTCGTTAAGGGTAACCAGCCAGTCATACTCGTCATCGGAATCATCTGGAAGTGGCCTCGCTTTCCCCCACAATTCAGATAACGCCCCCACCTTCTCGAGAATCTCCTTCGATTTCTTGTCGATTGTCTTGACGGGGGATTTGAATTCGGGGAAATTGTTGTAGAAATGGAAGTCCTTCTCCGCAGGTATGCCCCTTGAAGAGCCAGAGAGCTTCGCGATAGAAGAAGATAAAGGACCGCCGGCTGCTGTGAGTTTGCGCAGCGCCTCCGGCTTCTGAAAATCGGCTACAGACGTCGTCACGTCCATCATCTCCAAAGGCCCAACGAAGTAATCAAGGGTTTTGTGAAGCTAGGGTTAGGGTTTTAGCACGCAGTTCATTTTCTCTCCGCGCCCAGATGAATCATCATGGAGGGGCAAATCAAGCTTGGATGTTCCCTTGCGCCTTTCGTTTGGGACGGGAATGCTAGTTCTAAGATACATGAACATTTATTTGCCTCCAAAATAATGAGACCGAGTTTGGCATTAGCTTAGATGTTAATGGTTTAAAAATGGTACTATTTTCAGAATTCGTCTGTATTGTTAAAATTTTATTCAAAACGCTAACGTTAATCGAATATGTTGTTTTCAAACAAGGCCCTCTATTTAGGGGTATTTGTCCACTTTTGAGTTTTTAGTCAAAATTGACAAATTTTGATCTCAAATTAAATATTCCCTCCGTCCTAAATTAAATTCTTATTTGACTTTTCACGGTCTCCAATGTAACACTTTGACCATTAATATCTCTATTACGGTCAGAGGTGCACCTTGCTGCGGTCAGAGGTAGCAAGGTGGCGATTGGAGGTAAAAATCTATTTCGTCAGTTGTTGCGGAAATTGGGATCGATTGCAAAAGTCTATTCCTACTCGATTGCACACACCAACCATCAATTGCTGTAAAAATGTATCCTCCGCTGCTTTACTTGTGTCGCCGATCGCCGCTGCCTTGTTTTACCTCATCGGTGGAAGCTCTTTGGTCAGTGGCTTGTAAAAAAGAGAGATCTACGGAGGAGAAGAAGGTGATGTACGGAAGAGAATAGGTGGAGTGTACTTTGGGAAAGTCAATCACATTTACACTTTTTCTTAATCTGCGTGTCCGGTCAAACCAGGAAGATAAATAATGGACGAAAGATATGTAGTAGGATTAGGATTACACATGTCCTCTTCCCTGTACATGTATATCCAAGGAGATTATTAATAGGCTGTTAGTAAATTATATTAAATCTCTGTCTTTTTCATGATTTTTGATTGCTTGCGTTTATATTTTCTTGCATCAGTCATACTATGGGTGGTATATTCAAACGATCTTTGGGTATTGGGTATGTGTGGAGCGAGGTGAAAACATTGAATCGCCTTTGAATCTATGAGAGGAGGACTTTACATGATTCATCATGTTTCTCTCATATGCATAAATTCCAGTCGCACAATTTTACTTTATTAAAAAATGTCTACAAGAAACATCTTTTTTGGCACGTATGAAGTAGTTAGTATTTCTTCCGTTCCAAATTAAATTGTCTGTTTATCATTCACAGAGTCATACTTTATTCACTTTCTTTCTCCATTTTCATTACTCGTTTGATATAAGAATATAGTCATGTTACTTCTTGTTTTGTATAATTTTTTATGTAGTTTTTAAATATATAAATTTTATTTTTTAATCCCACCCTAATTTTCAAATAAATTATATTGAAAATAACTTCAGTCAAACATCGTAAACCAAAATAGACAGTTTAAATTAGGACGATGTAAATTGGAACGGAGGGAGTACTAGGTAGGTAGCTAGGCCTTTTTTTGGTCTGATTTGTTGGTTTCAAAATGTTCTTGATTTGATGGCCATTTCCCTTTGAGCTCCTGAAATAGTGAAATGGTGAAATATACATATCCATAAATGAATTTTCTTTTCTATACTTCAAATCAAATGGACTCATGAATAATGAATGTAGTAATTACAAATGTGATGATTGCAGTTGAATGAAAGTCAAATACAAATATATCAAAAGTTATTACTAATGGACCAAACAGATTTGTCATCTGTGCATCATAAGAAATCAGAGCAGCCCACATTTGGGCAGTAGAGCTATCAAAAGCTTTGGTCACTAGACTTTGAGCTTCTTGGTGATTTCAGCAATATACTTGCCCTGATAAAATGCATGTTGCAGTTCCAGTTCGGTGGGCTGACGAGAACCGTCTGCAGCGTAAGTTCCAGCTCCATATGAAGATCCACCTTTTACCTCATCCATCTCAAACATTCCTTTCCCAAATGTATATCCCAAAGGGACAAAGATCATCCCATGATGTGCTAACTGTGTTACTGCTGTTAATCTGCTAATGTCCAATACTAGGTGAGCACTAAGCAACGAGAAGTGAAACCATGAACGGTAGAATTTAAGCTTGGGCAAGGGCAACTCGAACGGGTCATAAGATATCTGGGCCGAACAACGCTAATCCTCCTTTTGGATGATAAGAGAAGGGAAGGGAAGAAAATGAAAAGTGGGAAAAGACAGATTACGAAGCATTTTCAATTGTTTGTTTTGGTGAGAAAATGAGGGACGATAGAAAACTACCCATGGTTCCCACACAAACAGTTTTCTCTCCAACATAGGTGAGAAAATGACGTCATCCTCCTCCCACCACAAGATTCTTATCTTTTCATTTTTTATAACTGTTTTTTCTCCATTTCCTTACCATTTTCTATCAATCCAAACACTAATTTCTTTTTCTCTTCATCTTCTCTCAATTTTCTTTCATCTTGTTTTCTATCCCAATCCAAACAAACCATAAAAGATTGAATCCAATATATTATCTACTTCAACTAAAGGTCTTTTTATCTCATTGTTCATTCTCTAATTTTCTGGTGTGGGGTGCTTTAACAAAGAATGTGTGACTCGGGAAAATGCATAGCATTATAGCAAAGAGAGGAGAACTGAACACTGACGCAGTGAGTTCTTGGCCGCCACCATGGAAGCCGGTGCTCCAGAAGATTCCAGCGGGCTTACTAGCGAGAGCTTGTGTGGCCCATAACTGATGTTTGGCATCAAAGAATGCCTTCATCTGTGCAGCCATCATCCCGAACCGGGAGGGGCTGCCAAATAGGAAACCATCTGCCTCCAAAAGCTGTTCAGGTGTTATCGTTGGAACATCATCAGGTTTTGGAGGGCTCTTCATCTTCTCAAGAACCAGGCTGGGAAGTGTCTCCGGGACCTACGAGTTCATCTCTCAGAATCAAGATCAAAGAATTCAAAACCCAATCTTGAAAGATGAAATCTTTAAGGCAAACAAAAAAGTGTATCTCCATATGAAGATGGCAGAATACAATACCCAATTCTCCTAAAGATTAAATCTTTATGGAAAAGAAGTGTGCCTATTAAGTACATCTTACACAATGAAGATCAATTAAATACAATACCCAATCTTTCACAAATCAAGATCAAACACTAACGTTGAGTATGGTTCAAGGAATTAAAAAGAAAAGGAAAAAGGTTTTTCTCATTTTCCTCGCCAAATTGGAAGGAAATGTACCCCCTTATTAGGCATTTTTTTCTCTCATTTTCCTTTTCCTTCAACTTATTTTTTCCTCTCTAATCAAAGAAGAAGAAAATTCTATATCATTCTCTCTCTTTTTTCTCTCTCCCAAATTCCTTGAACCAAACATAATGTAAAGGTGTGTTAAGGAAACATTTGTACTTAGCATTTTGTATGATAAATTTTATGTGTCAGATTAACAGATAGACTTCTCAAAATGTTAAAGCTAAAGCCAAACTAACACTAATGCTGAAGTAGTAAACCCAATCTTATAAAGATACAATCTTTAATGCAAAAAATAAATAAATAAATAAAAGAAAAGGGTACCTGCCAAAGGGTTGCTTTGACACCATCAACTGAATTGGCTCCCTTCTGAATTTCTCTTGCCATGATATCCACATGCCCATACAGAGAATAATACCTTAACCAAGAACACAAAAACCAATTACAAGAAAGATCAAACCATGGGTTACATAGTAGGAATCGAAGCATTTCATTCTGACGCTTACACTATGTATACATTAGCAGTATCCATGGCGCAGCCTATATACCGATTCTCCAAGAAACCAGAGAGGTAAGAGTGGGACTATACACCCAGAAACTCAGAAAGTCTTCCCATTTTTCCGAAGTTCGGTACGGAGTATCAATTGTGCATTTTGTCGAACAGGATCAGGGCAGCTAACATAATTGTCCAGACCAGAAATGAGAAAACGTACGGAGTTTGTTTAACCCGACACGTACGCAAGAATTGCCGGCCATATCATTTGCGTCACTTGTCTTCTTGCTTTATTTGGCTTGCAAACCAACGACTTTACGTGAACCACATTCTTCCTTCCGTGCTAAATATTGGCTTTCCTACTTCATGTGTTTCTAGATTGAAAAATGCTAGCGCTACACGAAAGGTGTACCCCATATGTCCCTCATCCCTTCCTTGTCCATTACAAAAGCTAATAAAAATGTGTGGTGGAGAAGGGGTGGTGTACATTTGGAGTACACCTTTTGGTGTACCTCTAGCATTGCTCTTCTAAATTAAGTACTCCCCACCTCATTCTTCTAAATTAGATGATAATCTGGCCGGTTTTGAGAGTTTTTGGGCATAGTATAGATTTATTACAAAATCTTTATAAAAGTACCTTAAGCATGTATGATTTAAATTTTGGTGAATTGACATCCAGATAAGATATGATCGTTTTAGACATATTTGGAACTATTAAAGGTGCTTGGTTGATTTTGGACACTGTTGATATAGAGGTTTTCGAAGAAGGTATGTATAATCTTATTATAAGATCTTTACAAAAATACGTTAAGCACATATGATCTAAATTTTGATAAATTCCCACCTCGGACAATGTAGGGTCTTTTTAGACCTCTTTAGAAGTATTGAAGGTACTATGGTTGATTCTGGACACTATCGATGTGGAGATTTTCGAGCATAGTATGGTTTTATTGTAAGATTTTCACAAAAATACGTTAAGCAAATATGATCCAAACTTTGGTAAATTGACACTCTGGACAAGGTATGACATTTAAGAGCTCTTTGGAAATATTAAAGGAGCTTTGATCGATTTTGAACACTGTCGATGTGGAGGTTTTTGGGCATAGTATGATCTTATTACAAGAACTTTACAAAAATACGTTAAGCACATTTGATCATAACTTTGGTGAATTGACACCCTGAACAAGGTATGGTCTTTATAAATCTGTTTCAAATTATTAGGTGCTTTGGTTGATTTGGGGCACTCTCGATGTGTAGGTTTTTAGGCATAGTATGGTCTTATTGTAAGATCTTCACAAAAGTACGTTAAACACATATGATCTTTGGTGAAAGTTCTTATACATATTTTTTTGCTTTTTAAAGTTCTTTCAAATTTTTCAAAAAAATACTCCATACTTGTGTTGCTTAGTGTAAACCAAAAAAGAAATGATCGTGGGTTTCAGTTCATGCTTTTTCTACACAAATCAAAATCACACCTTCTATTTTATTAAAATTTGTATCAAGTCAAACTAAAAAGATTGTGAGATGAGGTACTTTAACTTCATAAAAAATGTTGAAATGTTAGATTTTATAAATCCCTTTTTTACACCCATATTGAAAAAAATGATTACAAATGGTGGAGTCTCTTTGAGATACAAATGGCCTAGAAGAAATATTGTTCAAAATTGAATAAAATAGTGGAGTCTCTTTGAGATACAAATGTTTTAATATGGCCATATCATATATTTTTTATTAGTCTTACCTTCGACAACATCGAGATGAATGAATATTGGATTAGGTTGTACCGATCATATGTGTCTGATTCAGGGATGGTTCTTTAAGTTTTAGGAATTCAATGACAATGACAAGATTATTTACACCAGTAATGATAATCCATGAAAAATAGCGAGAATATGTTCAATCAAGTTGCAAAATCATGTGGATATATCTAGTAAATGTATTTATGATGTGTGATATGTGTCAAAGTTGAAGAAGACTTTCATCTCATTGGAGGATTTAAAATGCAAATGGTTAGTTGTGATTATGCGTGGTAAAGTTCTTAAAGCAGTGACCTTTAATGTGTAAATATGTGAAAAAGATTAGGAGAGTGCATTATTTGGTCTAGACCTGCATCGACCTTAAAATTTATTCAGAACTGGACCAAATCAATCCCTCTCTAATATGATCTTCGGTCCTCTAATTTTCTTTATTTGAGTTTTGGTCCAATCCGATCCAGATTGGCTAGAAATATTTTTTTGAATATGTTTTTCTAATTAATTTAAAAGGAAGGTAATCTTGCACCAATTCAATTACGGCACCAGCGGTTAACAAAATTGACCAAAAAACTAACAAAAAATTGATTGGTGCAATTAGAGAAGATGTGAAGTACGTAAGGGATGGACCGGGTATGAGTAGGTTATCGAGAGGATTAGGGGGTGGAAACAAACAATTTTACAATTTAAACACCGTAGATGCCCCAATTAAATTGGTATAACAATCTTACATCAACTCACTTGGTATAGACAATTCTAAGATGGACCTGCATATGAACAAAATAAGCATTTTCTTACTATTTAAATAAGCATCTATTTTTTTAATAAATTTTTTTAAAAAAAAATTATTTGAGAAAATTCACAAAAATAATACGCACTCAAGGTGCACCATAGAAGCAACTCATTGGTGTAAGATTATCCCCTCATATTTTAACCATATAAATTTTGAATTTTTTTCCTTATCTATTAATATAGGGTGTTGGCCATACGAGCCAAACTCAAATCCCAAACCCATCTATATTATTCGCCAGCTAGGCCGAATCAACCCGTTGGGCAATTGGGTACATATGGATATCCATATCTGCCTCACTTAGTTCTTTTCTGGTTTACTTTAATGATGGATTTTATGATGCAAAATTTTCAGCGGAGGTACCTTAGTGCATGTTGTTTGTAGATGATTTGAAAGATGATTGATTATAAAACAGAGAGTTATTGTCAAATAAGTAAAGATTTTGAACATTCATTTTGTTCAAAGAAAAAAAGAAGAAAAGAATGTTCATTTTTCACAGCTAGAATCTAACTAACAAGCCATCATGCGCGCCGTGAGACGATCAAAGATTGCCATTTTGGCACAGCTGCTTTGTCTGGGAGGATAGTGACCCCGGAGAGACAACTTACCCAGACAAGGACTTTATATGCATCCGCGAGCACGACCAGGTCTGCGGTGCCCATTATGTGATGATGGTTTCAGATTTGATGGATCTGCCAAGTATACCAAAGGGAAAAAAATGATTAAATATTAAGTACAAAATACAAGACGTGGGGCATCCTAGTCAAATCTCCAGCATCCGTTTCGGGCATATCAGCACAGTTACGCAGACTATAATCTCAATGATCCATTAATGCAGCATCGGTCTCTGATAATGGCGCTGCAAAGGAAAATGAAGTTTAATTATAGGGGAAAGTATAATCACATGTAAATCAAGAATGTGAAAGAACAGAGAGGAAAGGATGAATCGATTGCACTACAACGATCTGACAAGAAAAAAAACAGATAAAAATCAGGGAACACACAAAAACTGCTAATATGACTTTACCAATTTTGCAATGAGACACTATAACAAATAAACAATCATAATAGTTTTCATGAAAGTAGGGAAAAAATACTAAGATGATGGCAGCTTTGGAATTAAATTTAATTATTTTGCTTTAGAAAGATGCCATACCAAGGACATCAGGCACAAAACTTTATCCTGTGCTTTTTTCTTCATCAGCTTAAGTGTTAACTCATTCTAGACAATTAATGAAACTAGATTTCATGCAACTAACCGCAATTTAGTTGGGACTAAGGTGGTGTTGGCGATGACAAAATCTTTAAAAACTACATGTACATAAATAAAATCTGATCAGCAATGCAAAATTATCTGTCGGCGCCGATGTGGCACCTCATGTGACGATGCCGATCATTGAATTTTTTTTATGATTCAAGAAAGTGCTTTCTCTTTTCACATTTTGTTTTGTTTTTATCAAGTTCTAAGAGATGAGCATTAGTTGAGACTGATGTGCAAAAGGAACTGGAAACCTTGTCCCTAGGGTTTCATTTCCAGTGTGGAATGTTACTTTGTTCTGGGAATAATAACCAAGTTCAAGATGCACATATAATCGTATATAGGAAAGCTGCATGCCAAGCTTCTAGATAATGCTTTCATTAAATAATACTACCTCCGTTTCTCAAAAGAGTTCCTCTTTTGACTTTGGGGGAAAATAAGGAAGTGTTAAATTGTAGTTGACTTTCCAATTTTGCCCTTGATGTGATGGGTAAAAGTAAGATGTGATAGTTTAGTTGTTAGTGAAAAAGTATGATGTGATAGGTAGGGTATGAAAAAGTAGGGGTAAAAGTGGTTTTTTAATAGAAAGGGGAAGTGTTTTAAGAAAAACAAAAAAAATGAAAGAGGAAGGGTTTTAAGAAACGGAGGGAGTAAAAACTACGAGTTGAGTCAAAACAGATGGGGGGAGAAAGAGGGAGAGAGAAAGAGAGAGATACCAAGCAAGTCTTCATAACCATCGCCTAATAATGAAGTCTCGATTAGTAAAGGGGGTGAAAATACTTCGTTAGGAATTTCATCCATATCATAAAATGATTTGGGTGCATCAGAAACTGAAGAGTTTGAACCCACAGCAGAGAGGAACCCATTCATAGCATCGAAGTCATCAAAAGAATCCAGATCAGTTAGTATATCAGGTAACCCATCAGACTTGCCACCAGCATTATTTTCTGAACCACTAGTTACTAGATAGGATGAGTCTGATCCAGAAGAAAACAACCGTTCAGCGCTTGACAAGATTGATTTGGTGTCTTGGCCAACACGAGAAAACCCAGCTGCTCCTGAATGTGGTAAGAAGTAGTGCTCAGAGGTCTCATCATCATGACTGCCTTGAGATGATTCTAGATTATACGATTGGGACAAATGGACAGCTTCCCTGACTGATCTTTTCAAGTTTTGTACAAAATAAATGTCATCATCTGCAAAAAATGAATATAAGAGTATCATTGGAAAAGGTCAACTAGAAAAGCAAACAAAGGATGTAGGCAATGTAAATAATGCATGTTGCACACAACAGATCAGGAAATAATACAAACCTTGAGATGGGTTATCACTATGATTATTTAACAGGGGCTGGTCCATGAACATTTTCTCAGAAATGCTTTCTGCATGTTTGGTTGG